TATATATAATATTTAATTTATTTTGGCGGAGGTAACACTGAGAGAACACTTATCTTTAGGCAGAACTACACAATAAGAAAGGAAATGTGATGGTTATGATTTAATCTAAAAAATTATGAATGTCGCACCAAACTCCTTATTTACATTTTACTGAGGCCTGTGTGTTAAATGCATTTTGTGCAGTATCCATTCCTTTAGGATGTTAAAGCAGTTTCTTCTAAGATTGTAAATTTCGTATAGCAGTATATACCAGGGAAATCTTTTATTTCCGCCGGAAATATGCACATCGCTTCGATCACTTGTCCTTTTATTCTTGAACACAGGTAATGGAGAAACCAAATGCATTTCACGTGAACCATGTTAGAGGAGAGGTGCAATTTTGTGATATTTCATTTAAATATGGGGACAATTTGCCTCTTGTCTTGAATGGGCTTAACCTGCATATCAAGGCCGGAGAAACAGTTGCTCTTGTTGGGCCCTCTGGTGGAGGAAAGACAACCCTTGCAAAGCTCCTGCTTCGGCTTTATGATCCTTTATCTGGTAAGTTATTTGATGACATAATAACATAATCGCCTGCCATATTCTCTTTTCTCGTTCATTTTTTAATACCTAAAGGCTATTCGCTAGCTTACCTCCTAATGTTAAGAGCTAAAGCCTAATGGTATCCTATAACCTTCGTCTTATTGTGCAATGGAAATTGAATCTCCCTTATTATTTTGTTGAGGTTCGTTTGTGTTTTCTCATGGTAATAGGTTATATACTTATTGATAACCATAATATTCAGAGCATCCGGTTGCAGAGTTTGAGGAGACATGTTGGCCTGGTTTCTCAGGACATAGTAAGTGTTTGAATGTAAAACCTTCACTTTGAATGCATACTAATAAAGTATTTTTGGAAATTTCTATTTCAAGGTTTACTATGAGGAGAGTCGATAACTAAAATGTTTAAGAATGAAATGCATGCTTCATGCATTATAACTGTAACGACCCTACTTATGTGGCCATACTTAACTATATGCTAAAACAAAATAATCATTTCTTGTTTCTTATAATTTTCTTATTTGAAATTTCATATATTTGTTGCCCAAACTGCTGCAACATTTTAAATCTTAAAATTCTCTAGACTAAGATTGTAAAACTACAACCTCGGTCTTCAATAACGTACATACATAATCTATTAAAACATACATGCTAAGGATTAATTAAATCCTCATAATTTGGTTTTCCTTAATTGCCTTTACTTATATGTGCTAAGATTGATAATTCATCAATTTAATAATTAATTAATTATCTTATTCATATACTAAGTCTAAATAATTTAGTTAACTTTTTATCCATAATCAAAGTTTTAGATAAACTTTACCTTATTACACTTATTAGGCTCGTAATTGTGTTTAGGCCCATTTGGCTTAGAAGCGTTCTTAAGGCGTTCCAAATACTATATCATCGTACTTACGGGTGTTGGGCTCGTATCTAATGTTGTAACACTAAGGGCCTAGTGCATCGGGCTTTTACAATTCCCGTTCGGAAGCTTATTTAAAAACCATTAAGGTTATAGGAAAAATTTTGTGAGCGTTCCCGTTCGGAATGTGTTAAATCAAAACTCTAAGGGGTCCGTTTTTGG